ATATACTGTATATGTGTGTAAAGATTTTGTTATGTTATGTCTATATCTATAAGCCACTAGACATAAATATGCAATTTCTACATGTTGATTTACAGTAAATATTTTGTTTAATGTAACATTAATTTCTATAAAATGGACTACTTGTCCAACAACCCCACAAAATCTGCCAATTGGCATTTTGGTACCCTCTTTAGCCTAACAAGACAGTGAAAGCTACAAAACAACCATGGTAAACATCATAATATTGGAACAGGTATGGATACTTTCAGTTGAATAGCAGTGAATGTTTTAGAAGGTCTTTTACCCATAATATATATTTACAAAAGGCATCATTGACCACTTTTCCTTCTTGTGGCTATGTCACTAATGAAAAACTGCAGAAAGCGGAGAAAGGAAGCAATGTTGCCTTTTGCAACCATTCTGAAGAACTCGGCACCAAAAAACTGAATTCTAATTTCCATTTTGCCTGCTTGTTCTGCACTGGCTCTCATTGGGATAAGAGGAAATGTTCACTTGTTGGATTTCAAGCAATCTTGTTCAAAGAGCAGTGGTATGCAGTAATCCATATCAAGCCATCTCAGAACTTTTTTTATTAGTCTGATTACACTATCTTTTGAATGATATCTGATTTTTGTGGGTTAGTACATGTAATCGATCTTTGCAAAGTGCTATTTAACAGTTATCTTTCTTTTAATTGTCTTTTAGCATGAAAAAATTAAAACGCATATACTTTATTAAATTATTGTAGCTCATAAAGAGTTGTTTCTCTATTAGAGACACAGAAGTATGGAACCTCCTGTTCTACTAGTAATCTTCTATGGCAGCAATAAACTTTACAAACCTGTTGTTATCACCCTATTTTATTTATCATCAGCTAGGAGATATAGTTCTAAGAAATCCATCTTTTATTCTGAGAGTGACCTCTTCCACAAGTAGCTCTGCTGTTTGCTGCTATGTAGGTTACATGACCAAGAACTTATACATGCCTTCTAATATATTAAGTTTTCTGAAAAGAGAAACCCTGCATATTGAGTAGTACTATTTATTGTTACTTAAATACTAACTGCACATACAACTTAAAATACTTGTATAAAAGCATATGAAAACCACTAAACTCGACATTAGTCATCCACTCATCTTATATGGTAAATGTCATGCAGAAAGAATGTATCTCAAACACATTTCTCTGAGGGAGAATGTGACATGCACAGATACTCGGTCTTTACACTTACAATATAGACCTCAGTTTCTTTTGTCTGTGAAGAAAGAGCCAAACCCATGTTTCAGCATAACATGTAACATTTAAGGGACCTGTGGCTATGGTTAGTAGTTTTGTTACAAGTCTTATAAACACTAAGGGGGTTATTCACTAAGGAGCCGAAGGATCCAGCCGTAGCTTCGGCAGATCCTTCGGCTCTCTTTGGCCGCTGGAGCCCTTCCGTTCAGTCGAACCGAAGGGCTGCTGTACGGGCTATTCACTATAGCCCGCACAGCAGCGGCTTAGTGGCTCAGGCAAGCGGAAGGCATATGCTTCGGCACGAGTGCGCCGAAGTGACACGCACAGCGGGGCCGGCCGTAAGCCCCACTAATGACAGCTGGGCGGAGCCACCCATGATCTCCCGGGTGGCTCTGCCCATTTGTAATGACAGATCAGCATCCCCAAATAACCTCTGCTCCAGCTCTGTCCAGTTGTTATTCATTGGTTGAGACCTGCTAGAAGACTCTAACATGTGACGGCCAATAGGAAATAGTTGGGCAGAGCTAGCTGTCACTGCTCGCTCCGTCCAATTGTTTTTTTTTTCTTTTACAAAAATGTTTATTTATTTTTTTATTTCACTATTTATTTACATTTTTTAAATATTTTTTAAAACTTAAAAAAAAAAACTCTTTTCATTGACTTTCTATTCTGCTCGGTACAAGGTAACGAGCAGAATAGCCGAGCTGAATGCAGAGCATGCTCGGCTGACTGAAGTGCAGCCGAAGTACTGGTGATTTCAGCCGATGTACAGCTGAAATCAGCCGTACTGAGCAGGAGCGAATAGCCAAATGTTGTTCAGCTCACTTCACTCCGGTTGGGTTATTCACTCGGCTGCCTCCGGCAGCTTTGTGAATAACCACGTAAGAGTGGTTTAAAGTTTTCAATTGTGAATATGTCTTATCTAATAATGTGGAGTGCTTTCTGTTTTCAAAAAGTCACCCAAAAGGGAACAGCAGAGTCCTTTGTGTGGCAGGTAACTGGTGACAAGCTGGATCCCTAAGGATTGTAGCTATTAGCTGTGCAAAGAAGAAAAGGCATGGTTTCAGTAACACTTTTAAGTTTATTACTGTCCTACAACATTACTAGTAGTAGGGTCCCTAATTTTGTGGTTCTTATAAAGCTTCTAACACAATTTTATAGGTTAAACAGCATAATGTATTAACAATTATCATAATGCTTTTTTTCATATTTTTGATAATAGTTTATAGGACATACATTTTTGGCATATGGAAAAACCATTTAAAAGGAATTTCCTTACTCACATAAATATACATCGGTAATGAAAGGGTTTTTCAGTATCCCTGGGGGGTTCTCCTAAATGGCCACTCATGCATAGCAAAATACATTAAAAGTAAATTTCATATTTCCTATTCAAATGGGATGTGATTAAAATTGGAGCATTAGTCCTCTTGTGTTTTGGATATGCAACCAAGCCATTTTTCTGCAGCCTTGCGGCCAAAAAGCTATGCCTCTGAAGTGGAAACAAGGCTAAATCACTCAACTATGCATGAATACATAGAAACTGGGGTGCAGAAAATGGCAGCAGGTGCTCTGGACTGATGAGTGAAAATTTGAAATATTTGGCTGTAGCAGGAGGCAGTTTGTTCAACAAAGGGCTAGAGAGCGGTACAAAAATGAAGCATGGTGGAGGTTCCTTGCAAGTCTGGGTCTGCATTTCTGCCAATAGAGTTGGAGATTTGGTCAGGATTAATGGTGTCCTCAATGCTGAGAAATACAAGCAGATTCTTATCCATTATGCCATACTACCAGGGAGGTGTGTGATCGGCCCCAAATTTATTCTGCAGCAGGACAATGACCCCAAACATACAGCCAAGGTCATAAAGAACTATCAACAGTGTAAAGAAGAACAAGGAGTCCTGGAAGTGATTGTTTGCCCCCACAGAGCACTGATTTCAACATCATTAAGGATTTGAGGCAGCCTACAGCCACAGAAGATCTGTGCTTAGTTCTTCAAGATGTTTAGAACAACCTACCTGTCAAGCTTCTTCAAAAACTGTGTGCAAGTGTACCTAGAAGAACTGTTTCTGTTTTGAAGGTAAAGGGTGGTCACACCAAATATTGATTTGATTTGGATTTCTGTTCTGTTCATTGTTTTACCATTTTGTTAATTGATGCAAAATATAATATTAACACTTTTATTTCTGAATTTCTTACATTCTTACTTTACAGCATTTTTTCACACCTGCCTAAAACGTTTGTTCAGTACTGTACAACCTCTCTTCTTCAGGTCAGAAGCAATACTGATAAACATGACAGTTTGTCAGTTAAGACAGGAGAAAGCTGTTAGAGGAGGGGGAGTGAGTGGGGTGTCATAAATGTTGGACCTGGGAGTAAAAAATGCCTCCTGATAATCAAAAGATAGAACAAATAAACATAGGATGACAAATAAACCCTAAACAGGTCAGATATATACAACCTACATGAATATTGTGATGTTCCATAGATTCATAAAAGAGTCTGGTTGTGTGTCAGAAAACCAGAATCCACATTAAGTCCCTTCTTTATGGCATTGAAAGGTAGAATCATTTTCATCTCAAATGTTTTCCTTTCATGAGTTTTTAAAATTCCCTTTCAGTACTTTAATATTGAGGTTGTGGATGGAGTGATCCTTCTGGGAGAAGTGATGTCCTACTGGAGTGCAATATTCATTCTTTTTGTGGTTCTTGATCGAACTCCTGTGTAGGTTCATCCTGAGCTGCAGCTTAAGGCCAGTTTCCCCAATGTAACAGCCTTTGTCACATGCTGAACACTGTATCATGTACACCACTTTAGCAGATGTGCATGAGTATGACCCCTTAATGGGGTACGCTTTGTTATTGTGACTCGCTGTATTTCTGTCACATATATGTTGGCAAAGTTTGCAGCGGGGTTTATTGCATTGTACTGTGCCGTCCTGTGTAAGTGCCTGTTCTGGGGTCAGCTTACTGCGTACCAATCTTCTTCTCAGGTTCAGTGGTTGCTTGAAAGCCAGTATTGGGGGCTTAGGGAATATTTCTTCAAGTATGGGGTCTTCTGAGAGTACTGGCTGTAGGTCTTTGATTATTTTGCGTATTGCCTCTAGAGTGGGGTTGTAGGTAACTACAAGAGGGGTCCTGGTTGGGTTTGTCTTCTCTTTGTACTGTAGTAGTCTTTCCCGTGGTGTTCTTAGGGCAGATTTTAAAAAAAAATAGTCTTTTCTCTGTAGCCCTTTCGCCGAAATGCATCAGCCAGTGTGCTCAGGTGTTTGTCTCTATCCTCAGTGTCAGAGCAAATGCGGTGGTATCGGATTGCTTGGCTGTAGATGACACCATGTTTAGTGTGATTAGGATGGAAGCTGGAATTATGGAGGTAGCTGTACCTGTCTGTGGGTTTTCTGTATACAGAAGAACTGAGTGAGCCATTGCTGACCGTTATGGCACAATCCAGAAAAAACAAACTGTGTAATGAGAAATTAATTTTGAGTTTGATGGATGGAATGAATTGAATGATTCATGGAGGTTTAAAAGGCTTTCTTCTCCTTCTGTCCATATTACAAAAATATCATCAATATAACGATGATATTGGAATGGTTTGTGAGGGTGAGTGGCTAGGAATCTGTATTCTAGGTCAGCCATGAAGAGATTGGCATATTGTGGTGACATTTTTGTTCCCATAGCAGTCCCATTCATTTGTAAATAGTTGTTGTCATTGAAGTAGTTGTGTGTCAGTATAAATTCAATGAGTTTGGTAATGGTCTCACTATCATAATTATGTCTGACATTATGGGAGGAAAGGAATGTGGTGCAGGCCTCAATACCATCTTTATGGGGGATGTTACTGTACAAAGATACCACATCCATGGTGACAAGTATAGTATTTATAGTATAGTATTTATATATTTTGTTAGTGTGGATGAATTAGAGCGGAGACTGCGAGCCAGGCCTCTCGTCCAACATCAGTACCTGACCTCACAAAAGCACTTCTGGAAGGATGATCAAACATTCCCATAGACCTGGGTATGACCCTGCTGGAATCTCTAGCGAGGACTGACAGACTGCTAAAGCCTGCCTCATGCTTCTATAGTACCCTACAGACCCTGACCTCCCCCACTCTACTCACCCTACCGTCTAGATGGAGAGCGGACATCCCAGACCTAGATGATGAGGATTGGGAGGAGATTTGGGATGCCCCTTTTAAACAATTGGTTGCGGTACGGGATAGAATGGTTCAGTTTAAAATACTTCATAGAGCATACTACACACCTCGCCACCTACATAAGATGAATGCCTCTATTTCTCCAGTGTGTTGGAGATGCACGTGCACCGAGGGTAACTTCTTTCATGTCTTCTGGGAGTGCTCCCTCATCACCTCCTACTGGCACTCCGTAGTCGAGTATATGGGTAAAGTCACCTCTCTACATCTTACCCCGTCACCGCGAGTGTGCCTTCTGGGCCTGGTGGAGGATATAGCTCCGACCCGTATAGCTTGTGCCCGTAAGGCAATTGCCATGTGTTGGAAGAAACCCGAGCCTCCAGCGCTGGCTTTCTGGAAGAAGCTGGTGAATGACAACCTACCTCTGTATCAGGACACGTATACCCATAGAGGATGTTCTGCCAAATTTAACAAAGTCTGTGATCGCTGGTTAGAGTGCAGTGACTCCGCAGTGGACTCGGATGTCTGAGATGGGGAGGGGAGCGGAGTGACCCCTTAGGAGACTCCTGGACATGGGCGAACTCATACTACACTGTCGCACCAAAAAGAGACCTGAGTTAATTCTATTAGCATTACCTCCTTAAAGTGTTCTAGCGCTCTAATCCTGGAATGTTATGCCTACATGGTGACAAGCACAGTTGATGAGTTATGTTGGGGAATGTCCCCACCCCGCCTGTACTTTAGCAGGGTTTCCCCCAAGGGATAACCACGCAGGGATTCAATTTTCTTTTCTAGTTTTGATTTATTTTAATGGTTATTTTGTGTGCTGTTTTAGGTGCATGCTACGCCTGGTTCCCGTCCTGTGGCATGCATTGTCATGTTTTAAAACTGTGAAAGATAATAAAAATATTTTGCAAAAAAAAAACATTCCCATAGACTTATATATATATATATATTTGCTGCACATCCATGATGGTAATCTCCCATTCTACTACATCTCAAAGGCGCTCTATTGGATTGAGACCTGGTGACTGTGGAGGCTATTTGAGTACAGTAAACTCATTATGTTTAAGAAACCAGTTTTAGATGATTTTAATTTTGTGACATGGCATGTTGTGTTATCATGCTGGAAGTAGCCATCAGAAGATGGGTTCACTGAGGTCATGGGATGGACATGGTCAGCAACAATACTCAGGTAGGTTGTGACATTTAAACAATACTCAATTGGTACTAAGGCACCCACAGTGTGCCAAGAAAGTATCCTCCACTCCATTACACCACCAGCACCAGCCTAAACTGCTGATACAAGGCAGGATTGATCCATGGTTTCATGTTGTTTATGCCAAATTCGGACCCGACCATCTGAATGTTGCAGCAGAAAACAAGACTCATCAGACCAGGCAACATTTTCCCAATCTTCTATTGTCCATTTTTGGTGAACTGTAGCCTCAGAATCCTGTTCTTAGCTGACAGTAGTGGCACCCGGTATGGTTTTCTTCTGCTGTAGCCCATCTGCTTCAAGATTTTGATGTGCTGCATACCTTGGTTGTAATGGTTATTTGAGTTACTGCTGACTTCCTATCAGCTTGAACCAGTCAGCCCATTCTCCTCTGATCTCTGGCATCAACAAGGCATTTTCACCCAAAGAACTGCCACTCATCAGATATTTTCTCTTTTTCAGACCATTCTCTGTAAACCCTGTAAACGTCTGGCACCAACAGCTTAAATCACCTCTCTTTCCCATTCTGATGCTTGATTTGAACTTTAGTAGATTGTCCTTGAGTTGGAAAATGTCCAGCGGAGGGCAACCAAACTAATTAGGGGTATGGAGGACCAGAGCTACGAGACAAGGCTACTAAATTTAAACATGTTTACATTAGACGTGAGGAGATTAAGGGGGGATATGATTTCCATGTACAAGATGTTCAATGGTGGTAGCAACATTAGCGAAAAACTGTTTAAAATTAACTCCATTACAAAAACTAGAGGCCACCACCTAAAATTGGTGGAAAAAAATTCCAGCACAAGGGGCGAAGGGGGTTCTTCACAGTAAGATCAGTTAGGGTCTGGAACTCACTGCCACAGGCGGTGATTTCAGCAAATAATGTGGAATTGTTCAAGAAACTTTTGGACGATTTCTTAAGGGACCGTAATATACAGGGGTACAGGTACTCCTAGAATGAGATCCTAATAGGTTGGACTTGATGGACTAATGTCTTTATTCAACCTCAAATACTATGTAACTATGTCTTGAACATGTCTTCATGCCTAAATGCATTGAGTTGCTGCCATGTGATTAGCTGATGAGATATCTGCATTAGAACAGGTGTACCCAATAAGTGGCCAGTGAATATATATATTAACAAAAATCAATTAAAACAGCTGTTGTCAGAGTATGGAATGCAAAAAATTAACGCAGTTATCACTATGCAACTTTTGTACTCCATCCTAAAATTGATTGCAACAAATATATCTTTGGTTTGCCTATATAGAAATCTGACGCTTTCAGAAACTGCATCTAGAGCAATAATACTTACAGCTTTCTATTTCCAGTGTACAGTTCTGTTCATCCAATGGGTATCTTCTTAAGTCCATCATGCATGCTGCTGTTGTTGTTATTCTAAAAAAAAAAAAAACATTTTAAATGAATAAATAGAATAAAAGCAAACATATATTGGTAAAATGTAAAGAGTGATATTGCTGTTATTACTGCAAATCAATATTATATGGAATTCCAAGGATATCTGTGGGTTTCTTCTCTATCAGTTACCTTTACATCAGGGGTCCCTAAATAGTGGACCACGGTCTGGATCCAGATCAGGCAGCGGTTCTGTCCAGGCCGTGATCGCCAAACTAGGTTGTGGCTGGCTGACAGTGGATGCATCCATAACCAGCCATAACCCACTACAAGTCCCCATTCATCCTCTGCCATTGGCTGCTAGGACTGAAGTGTTCCTAGCAACCATTGTTGACAACCCTTATATTAGTTGCTGCCATATGAGTGCCCCATTTACATTAAATACAAAAATAAGGGGGCACTCTGATGGGGACAGCCAATGTAAGGGGGCACTCTGATGGGGACAAGCAATGTAAGGGAGCACACTGATGAGATTATTATTATATTGGGGGTCCTTATCAGTGTACCCCCTTACATTGCTTGTCCCCATCAGGGTTCCCCCTTATGTTGGGTGTACCCATCAGAGTGCTCCCTTTTTTGTATTTAATGTAAGAGGGCACTCTGATGGGGGCATGTAATGTAAAAGGGCACTCCGATGACAGCAACTAATGTAAGTGGGCACTCCGATGGGGGGCATCTAATGTAAGAGGGCACTCTGATGGCGGCATCTAATGTAAGGGGCACTCTAAAGGGGGCATATAATGTAAGGGGGCACTCTGATGGTAGCAACTAAAGTACCTGATGTGATACAACCACATCACACTGTGCTTTGCCTATGGAACTTAATGAAATATCACTTATGACATTTCAAAAAATTTCTAACAAAAATGTTTTAAAAGGTGTGATGTGCGGGGTTCAATGCATCAGTACGGTGTCTGGGAAAACACACCAGCAGCTGTGCCTTGCAGTGCAGCTGCTGGTGTGAATACAGCCTAAATTTGCTGACTGCGGTGCAGACACGTACTGGGTGACTGTTTTGTCCGGACTGCAATTCCGGACCTCAGTTCTTAGAAAATTTTGATCACCGGACCTCCTTGAATTTTAATTCACTACACCGCTTTACATGGATTAAATGAAAAAGGAATACCCTCTTTACACAAAAGGTACCTAAACTTTAAGGCTATAACTTGCTGATTTTACCTGCTGATGAATTCTAATATGAGGGTTTGACCAGAAGATACAAACCATTTTATGCTTATGATAAGATAAATGTCTGCTAAGCTCCCACTAATTAATATGGCTTACAAAGGGATTGTGGACTTCTCTAAAGGAATTGAGGCAAATCAAGGTTTACTTTTATCTTGGAAATCCTCTTAATATTACATCACATACTTTGGATAGGCCATGACCCACTGTTAATTCCCTATAGTGTTAAGTAACTTTTAGTTTTGGTTATATCGAAAGCCTATGGTTATCTATATGGAAAAACTGGATTAGAACTACCAAGAACCTAATAAAATTTGCCACGAGAAAACAGAACAGATTTACATAACCACATCAAGCTGCTCTCATCAAAGAAATAAATCCTTACTTTGAATTACATTAGAAACTAATAACTATGAGTCATGGATTGCATGACTGAACTTGAAGACAGCATTACATTTCTTAAAAAGATAATTATTTCTGTCACACTTTATAGTAAACACTGTACATTAAATATAGTTGGTTATACAACATACATTAAAATTAAATCAAAAACTCAAAATCGGGGGCGTTGCTACCAGGGCATGGGAGAAGACGTGTCTTCCCGGAGCTCCGTATATGACCGCTGAATAAAAGAGTCTAGCAGCCCTTATTCAGCTCCATCATGAGGGAGAAAAAGCCCAAGAAGTCTGCGAAGACCCCCTCTGCATCCTTCCAGAAATCCCAAACCCCCTCGAACATCAGGGGGTACTTTGATCGTTCGGATCAGGCGAGAGGCGGGCCTCGCGGCAAAATGGCGCCGGACACGAGCAGGGCTGCCAGGACGGATGCTCCTTCCCCTCCTTCCTCGCCGGATTCGAGGCAGGGGGACGCTCCATCGGGTTCCCCATCGTCCAGCTCCATGGGTACGACACCAGCGGTGGAGGTAGGTGAAACCCTGACACCTCCCGCGGTATCCCACGTGACCACACAGGCCCCGCCAGGAGAGAGGGGTGAGTGGCCGGCACAAGAGGCCGCCTTGCAATGGTCCCCTCAGGACGCACCATTCTCTCCGGTGCACGCAACGCATACTAGATTGGACTATTTCTTTGTCAACATGCCCGTGGTGAGAAACATGACAGGAGCAGAAGTGGGAGTTATTTCCTGGTCTGACCATGCCCCTATTGAACTACACCTTCAATTAGCCCCCAATCGCTTAAAACAGTGTCATTGGAAACTCAATGAAAGTCTCCTAAAAGAAGAAGTGCCCCGACTACAATTGGCAGATGAGATTAGGTCTTTTTTGCTGTCAACATGGGGTCTGTACCCTCCCACTCCATAATTTGGGAGGCCCACAAAGCCACCATAAGAGGTCAATGCATTGCACTAGCATCCAGGCTCAAAAAGGATCGATTATTCAAAGTGTCTCAGCTAAAACAGCCCATCCTCAATAAGGAGCGCAATCTGGCTCTTAAGCCGGCTAGATCTACTTTGCGTAGATTATATAACCTAGATGGTCCGTTTTTAAACTGGCACTTTTTGCTGACGACATAATTTTAACGTTGACCCGACCATTAATTTCGCTCCCTAATCTCCATCTGGCGCTAGAAAAGTACTCTGAGATCTCTGGTTACAAACTTAATGTGTCCAAAACAATGGTACTTCCCATTAATATCCCGTCCCAGGACCTCTCTAACCTCCGATCGTCATATTCTTATACGTGGGTGACAGACTCCTTGACATATCTGGGGATACGGCTGACCCCTCGCCTCTCTCAATTATACCAAGCTAACTATAAACCTCTGTTCTCCTCTTTGAGACTGCTCCTCCAAAAGTGGAAGCAGCTCAAATTATCCCTGACGGGCAAACTCATGGCCATCAAAATGACTATATTGCCTAAATTACTGTACTTCTTTGAGACTCTGTCAATTAAAATTCCCACACTGGACCTCAATTCCCTACAATTTGATGTTTAGCAGTTCATTTGGGGTGGGGGGGCGTCATCGCATATCCAAGGAGATCCTATTTGCCCCTGTGTCTAGGGGAGGCATGGCCTTGCTGCAGTTCGCTAAATATTATTTGGCGTCCCAATTGCGTACCATACCTAACCTATGCTCGTTGATGGAAAATCACGGCATAGTAGTTTACATCATAAGTACTTATATGCAGACAACTCAGAATTGCTAATCTCTTGACTTACACTATCTTCCTATGCTTAGTCAAGTGGTTCTCGATACAGCCTTATTAAGTGGCAATCTATTTGATTGTGTTTCCAACTTCACTTGCTTTGTATGCTTTGACTATTTGAAATTTAGCACTGTATCTTGAAATGTCTTGCATTTTGTTTTTGTAATCTACTTTTGAAAATGTTTGAAAATAAAGAAATTGTTATTCGAAAAATAAATAAATAAACAGAGTGAGCTGGAAGGAGAAATTCTCCCAATGTGGCTTCTCCTCCCTACTTCAAAAAAAACAAAAAAACAAAATCAATGGCTTAAAGTTTGTGCACTAGAACATAAAACACATTTAAAACATTAAACACATTCAACAAGCTATGAAAACATGCACATTATATTTTGTGGGTGGTAAATCACTGCAGTACATACATGTCGCATCTATAAATTAAAAAATGATTAAAAAATAATAACAAAGCTTTGTAGAAGCATGTATCGTATGTTGTGTAAACAAGCTCTGAGTTAACTTCTAAGCCTAAGATAGAAAATGAGCATTACATAAAAACAGAGGCAGTGGAGGAACAAGCTGATCCCAGGCTACAAATATGGTGTTATGTAATCATCTAGCACAAAGTACAGTGGTTAAGCGGTAAGTGCAGTATTACATATCAGCTAGTCACATTTCAGTGTACTGTAGCTTACTAAAGAAAAAGCTCAAATCTGGTTGCTATTGGTTAATGCATTTTGCAGATAGTCACTTCACTATGATACTTTTATTTTTTTTCATTAAGCACCCCCTCCAACTTTCCCAGCATGGACAGAAATAATGAATTCATATGCAGGCAGTTTTCTCAACCCTCATTGCTAAAACGGTGCGTGTCATGTATCTTAGTAGTAGTAGTCTCTTGAGCAAAGTGTTGGGGTCTTTCTGATTTAGGCTTGATAGCCCTTAGGACCCACAAGCTTGGGATGATAGCTGATATGTTCTGCAACTAGCATGAACCAAGACAATTTACCACACTCCCACACTTCATATATGGCAGCTTACGTGGCTGAGCTTTTAGCAATTGTGATTTGTTGGAATTATTCTTATCATATTCATTGATTATTATGCAGAATGTGCATACTCTACAATATTAGGCACCTTGTCATGCAAAGTATTATCAATAAGAATGTATTTTGAGTTATAATTTCAGAATTTGCCTCAAAGTTACACTAAACTCAGGAGTTAAATCTTAAAAATGCATTCATTTTAATAGCAAAAATGTAACTTTATTTGTGTATCACTCGGCTGTAGATCTTCAAATCATCTCTGAATTCATGCTGACACTGTCCTTCCTTCTGGAGGGTGGCTACTTTTGCTGCCCCATGGTCCCTGTGTGTGTTGTAAAGTAGTCACCGCTCCAAGCTCGCTCCTGTGATGTACTACAATCTCACATTTAGTTTAATCATTTGTATTGAGATTGTAGTCCATCACAGGAGTGAGCTTGGAGTGGTGGCTACATTACAACACACACAGGGACCATGGGGAACAAAAGTAGCCACCCTCCAGAAGGAAGGGCAGTGTCAGTATGAATTCAGAGATGTTTTGAAGTTCTACACAAATAAGGTACAGCATTGCTAATCATTAAGGTAATTGAATGCATT